AAGGTTTGCAGAACAAATCGTTCGGAGAAAGGGAAGTATATTAAGATTATTATATCTTTATTGAATGCCCCATCAACTGCAGTTATTTATGAGTGTGCTAGCACACTTGTTTCTTTGTCGTCTGCTCCCACTGCTATTAGAGCTGCTGCCAACACTTACTGTCAGCTTCTTCTTTCTCAAAGCGACAATAATGTGAAGCTTATTGTACTTGACCGGCTGAATGAGATCAAGTCTTCTCATAGAGATATTATGGTTGATTTGATCATGGATGTTCTTAGGGCACTTTCAAGTCCAAATCTTGACATCCAGAGGAAGACGCTTGATATTGTTCTTGAGTTAATAACTCCACGAAACATCAATGAGGTTGTTCTTATGTTGAAGAAGGAAGTTGTGAAGACTCAAAGTGGAGAGCTTGAGAAGAATGGAGAATACAGACAAATGCTAATTCAAGCTATTCATTCCTGTGCAATCAAGTTCCCAGAAGTTGCGAGCACAGTTGTGCATCTGCTTATGGATTTCTTGGGTGACAATAATGTTCCTTCAGCTATTGATGTTGTGGTTTTTGTTCGAGAAATAATTGAGACCAACCCTAAGCTTAGGGTGTCCATCATAACAAGGCTATTGGATACATTCTATCAGATCCGAGCTGCACGGGTTTGCTCGTGTGCTCTTTGGATTGTCGGAGAGTATTGCCTATCTCTTTCTGAAGTTGAAAGTGGCATAGCAACCATCAAGCATTGCCTCGGAGAGCTACCTTTCTACTCTGTTTCTGAGGAAGGAGAAGGTACTGATGCTTCTAAAAAAACTCCGCAAGCAAACTCCATTACTGTTTCCTCAAGGAGACCGGCTATTCTTGCTGATGGTACTTATGCAACCCAAAGTGCTGCCTCTGAAACAGCTTTCTCTGCTCCTAAAGTTGTTCAGGGATCATTGGCTTCTGGGAATCTCAGATCTCTTCTCCTCACTGGCGATTTTTTCCTCGGGGCAGTTGTTGCTTGCACACTGACTAAACTTGTTCTGAGATTGCAGGAGGTACAGCCATCAAAAGTTGAAGCTAACAAAGCAACCACACAAGCATTGCTGATCATTGTCTCTATGCTGCAATTAGGACAATCTCCTGTTCTTCCACACCCAATTGATAATGATTCTTATGATAGGATTGTTCTGTGCATAAGATTGTTGTGCAATACTGGTGATGACATCAGGAAAATATGGTTGCAATCTTGTCGTCAGAGTTTTGTGAAAATGCTATCAGAGAAACAGCTGCAGGAAACTGAGGAATTAAAGGCAAAGGCTCAGGTTTCTCATGCACAACCAGATGACCTTATTGATTTCTACCATTTGAAGAGTAGGAAGGTGAGAGCTTTTTATTTGTCATTATCTTATGAGTATGTTTAACATCTTGGTTTATCCCAAGTTTATTGTACCATATTTAGTCATGTATGCATTTTTTAAGCTTGTATAGTTGTATTTTGTTTGTTTGGATAGAATTTATTGCCTTATCACCTTGTTTTTCTTAAGCTTGTATAGCTGTATTTTGTTTGTTCGGCTAGAATTTATTGCCTTATCACCTTGTTTTTGTACATCTTATGGTTATTGATTCTTGGATTTTTGTCATGAATTTACGTATTTGTTTCTGGAATTTTTTGTTTCTGATTTTTTTGGGACTTCCAGGGTATGAGTCAGCTGGAGTTGGAGGATGAGGTTCAAGATGATTTAAAACGTGCAACTGGAGAGTTTGTCAACGATACTGATGATGCAAATAAGCTCAACCGCATTCTTCAACTTACTGGATTTAGTGATCCAGTATATGCAGAAGCCTATGTCACTGTCCATCACTATGATATTGTTCTTGATATCACAGTTATCAATCGGACCAAGGAAACTCTTCAGAATTTGTGCTTGGAGTTGGCAACTATGGGTGATCTGAAACTTGTGGAGCGTCCGCAAAATTATACCCTAGCTCCTGAATCTAGTAAACAAATAAAGGCCAACATCAAGGTCTCGTCAACTGAGACTGGAGTCATATTTGGCAACATTGTTTATGAGACATCAAATGTGCTCGAAAGAACCGTTGTTGTTCTTAATGACATTCATATTGATATCATGGATTATATTTCTCCCGCTGTATGTACTGATGCTGCATTCAGAACTATGTGGGCTGAATTTGAATGGGAAAACAAGGTATTTGTTGAACTATTTCTGTTATTATCAGCTTGCATCCTCAGCAGCGACCCTCATTCCTTTAAATATCTAGCCAACATTGATACCATACTATGCTTTAATATAATGTGTTCAGTATGCTAATCGGAATGCAATTATCTTAGTTCGATTTTATATGTAGTTCATGTCCCTTGCATAGTGTTTGTACCTCTTATTCCCCTCTCACCGCTAATTGAGTTCACTTTATATATCATACGTTCTCCTAGGACTAAGCTAACAATTTCTATCCCCATTGTTGTGTCAATATTATTTTTCACTATTGATTTTTGTGATTCAGGTTGCTGTTAACACAGTAATCCAAGATGAGAAGGTATTCCTTGAACATATTATCATGTCAACCAACATGAAGTGTCTCACTCCAGTGTAAGTTTTAACTTCACTGAGAAATATACATAGAATTACAAAACAAACCGATGAGTTAATGGTTTCTGCATATGATGTAGATTTTACAATTTTAATTCGACAGTGTGCTATATGATTTACATGTCACTTCGTTCTGAAAACGAATCTTTCATGCTTAATTTGCAAAATAACAAATTAATATCATATTGGCTTTCAGAATGCATCTATTTTATGGTTTTTTGACTTGCGACTCAAAACAAATTTCTTAGAATTTGCAGTTGAACCCTGTTGTAAATCTATTCCATCTGTATTTTTATTAATGCATTCTTTTATGTCAATCCTTTTGTTGGCTGGAATGTGTTTCAGATCTGCGCTAGACGATGAGTGTGGATTCCTAGCCGCTAACTTGTATGCAAAAAGTGTGTTTGGGGAGGATGCCTTGGTAAACTTGAGTATTGAGAAACAAGCAGATGGAAAGCTTAGTGGGTACATCAGAATAAGGAGCAAGACCCAGGGTATTGCTCTGAGTCTTGGGGATAAGATCACTCTAAAACAAAAGGGAAGTGGTTGATCGTGACACCATTTGTTCCACCAATACTGAAAGTCATTCTTGTCTTAGTTTGTCAGCCGCTGCCTGTCTCAATCTCCTTTGAAATGCAAAAAGAAAATTCTGATCTAAAAATGCAGGTAATTTGCTCTTATTTTAGAAGATGGACGTCTTCATCTTTGTTGTGTTCTGTGTCTAGGGGAAGTTACCGGCTTTGAGAGTCTGACACTTTTGTATTCGGAGTTACAAATTTCTACAGTTTGGGTCAATGAACATTGATTAGAAAAAAAGATAGGCTTTTTGTCAATGTTAAAACAGGATTCCTTTTTGTGGATTTAAAAAAAAAATAATGGTAGTACTGAATTCGGAGCTTTCCTTGGTATTAAATCAGCCTTAACTTTGCGGTTTCTGCTTTTCCGGTTCCGTTTTCTTTTGCTTGCAGCGTGTGCGTGTTATCTCTTTTCTGTCCGCTCGTTGTTTCCCTATATTTGTTGTGATTTTCAAGTCTCACTTGGAAACAACCATAAATAAAGGCATTAGATAAATAACACTATCCACTGTAACCACGGTGAAAAGTCGGAAAGCACATCTTCCAGAATGGTTCTCTGGTAATGCCGCTTCCAAAATTTCACCTTATGAAAGTTCAGGTTTCTTCATCCGCAAAATGTAGGTTCATAGGAATTGATAATCAACTGCATATATAATCGCGTGGTCATTATTCTCGAAAATAATTTCACCTTATTCTCACAAATTGTAATAAGATACTACTTCATTGTAATTATAATGAAGGTTAAATGCATATTTGGTCATTGAACGTATCCACTTGATTACCTTGGTTTTTATTGGATGTGTTCGATGATTTTGACAAGTTGGTTGTCTGATTGGCTCGAGTTGGCTCCTCATGTTGAGAGTCTATATATGTTCGTTGCCATGGCTTTAGCAGGGCTGGATTGACCTTTCCTAGTGTTGAGCATGGTGTTAATAATTTGTAAGTTCAATGGCTAACGTGATAAAACTGGGAAATTCAGTGGTCAAATATGAATTAAACTCTTATATTTTTATAGTATAAGAATTAATATTTAAAAAGAAAATTGGTCCATTTGAGGTTTCCTTCTGTAAATGGACGAAGGGAAATGTCATCCATTTAATAGCATACAACCTCCAAACACACAAGGACTTGACAGTCTTTAATCATAACGTATGAACATGACATGTGCATACATCCATACCCATCAATATATAATTTATATTCCAACGTGTCAGTCCTTTCGAAATCTAAAAAAAAACTAATATAATATAGTAAATGTGATTTTTATTTGCAAAAACCATTTTAATCATCAAACTATAATTGTACAATATGTCCACAAACTATAAATTTTATTTTAAATTTGTCTCCAGACTTTTGAATATTTAATATTAATCATCAAATTACAACCCTCATTTTAAATTAGTCCTTAAGCTTTAAAATATTTTATAGCTATCATCAAAATACCAATATCATTTCATTCTGATCCTTCCATTAATATATTATTATGTTTACTATTCTTTTGAAAATTTTCAAAATTGAATATGTAACCTTGTAAAAAAAATTCTCATGATCTTTAAAAATAGATTAATTTTTTAGGTGACATGTTAACGAAATGATCAAAATGAAATGTTATTCATAGTTTAGGATTGGTATAAAATATTTTAAAGTTTAAAGATTAATTTGAAATGTGGGTAATAGTTAAAGATTGATATAAAATAGTTTAACGTTTAGGGGTTAATTTATAATGTGTCATAGTGTGGGGACTTCTTGTGCCGTTAACTCTTTATATATTAAGTTACTTAAAATTTTGTTTTTCTTCGAGTGAAATAAAGAAAAAAAGGGGCAACAGCAAACAACATAAGGAATAATAATCTAAACCCTAAAGCATATATCTTGATGTTTCAAAAAGAAAAGTGTTATTGAGGCTCATCTTGTACTCGTAGACCTGTTAAAGAAAAACAACTCTGTGACTTGTTAGTGACCTTGAGTTCGCTTTGCTGCGATTCAGATTTTGTTGTTGGTGGATTATCGTCATTTGACGATGTTGATGGCGTTTCTTCATCGTCTTCGTTCAGAGCAAGAAGAGGCATGGAGTTGGGGTTTTGCCATGAATAGAAAGATGAATTCCTGGACCTGCACCATTTGTTTGCAAGCAAAATCCTCCTTTTGTTGAATGGATTCTCTGCTTTTTCCACTTCTTTTACTGTGCTTACATCTAACAGATTCCCGAATGACTTTGATTTTCCCACATAGTGATTCGACAATCCCCTCCTATCAAAAAGATTAGATCCAATTTGAGTTTAAGATATTTCATCTAACAGATTGTTTAATTAAGCGGGCGAAAAGTTTTAAAAATCAAAAGAGAAGACGGGGAGAGATGCTAACTTGATCGGAAGAGAATCCTCTAGAGAACCCAACCATCCCAAGCTTCCACTTGCCCTAAATGAAACTACGCCGTCTTCCTCTTCATCGTCGCTGCCTCCCGACGATCCGATCGACGACGAACTCTCCGGTGATACGTCCGGCAACCCGGCGACATCCTCCTTGAGAAAAAAGCAAGAGGAGGAGCCTTTATTCTTCTTATCAGGCTTCCGCTCTCTAACAAAAGTCGCCGTAACCGCCGCCGAGGCAGCGGCCTCCATGTCGAACGTGGGGTCCACAAGAACCTCCATTTCTCCCCCCTCAAAATCCACTTCTTCAACCCTTTTTGTCCTCAGAGAAACAAAAAGACGAGAAGGATAAAACAATGAAGTGCCCTCAGGGGACCAACAAGGAGAAAGGTATTTATTTATACTCCCTCCATTATTTTGGTTGTCAATTCTTAAGATGGAAGCAAAGCTCTTCAGCTCCTAGCCAGTTGCAGAGAGAGAGAGAGAGAACACGATCAGGGATAGGATTAAAATAAGATTTGGTTAGGTTGGATAAAATATAAAAATGGCTTTTCATTTGTACGATGTTATACTATATATAGTGTATACGTATTTGGCAACCATATGTTATACAGAAAGGAAGGGGCAAGGTTTAACGTTAATATCTGCCGCCGGCGAGATAGGGGAGGCTATGAACTTAGAACGCGGTTTGACACCTTCTTAATATACACCTTTCAACGTCTTATCTTGGAATTAAAACCGTATTATTTGTTATTAATGGAAACTTATGTTTACTCCTTTCGCCCTATGTCGTATCTTCGGTAGATAAAAGGAATATATGTTATCAATTTGTATGAAATAAAGTCTACACTAATTTAAAACTCATCACGTTGGGCTGTCAAGTTATAATTTTTTTTATTGAAACTTCTTAAACAAATTCTAATAAAAAATTATATTTTTAAAATTTGTCACTTTATATTATGAGTTTTGATAAAAATATTTTATTTTAGAATTTGTTATTCTATCCTTGAGGTCAGTTGGTAGAGCACAAGGTTCTTAACTTTGAGGTCGTGGGATCGAGTCTCATGGAAGGCATTTCATAATTCGGAGGTCTCCTACGAAAACTGCTCTTAACCTAGTGTTGGGATAGCCTACTATCTTACCTCCCCTTACCCCATATGAGAACAAGGGACAACCATTCTCCTAATGAGTTGGCCTATACTATAATAAATATAGTATATCCCAAAATAAAATTTAGATTGCTCAATTGACTAAATAATTGATAGTCTAGATTATTGTCATGGTATAAAATTAATTTTTTTATTGCAAGATAGGATGTTTATAAAATATACGTGGTGGGTTGAATTTGTACCCAATAAAAACTGATTTTTATCGGAATTGCAAAAGATCAGTGCCATTGATTATTAGGCACATTATTGTCCACGATAATTATCACATAATAACTTAATAAACTTTGAAGAATCATCCCCAGGCCCACACCAATTTCAAGAATTTGACTGTCAATTAAATTATTTGCATTAGTTAATTTTTATAAAGGGGCGGATGATAAATGGATACTAGGTAGCATCAACTAGAAAGAAATTGGACAAGAACCGGAAATATAATAATCATAATAATCTTACCGATGCTGGACTTTTTCCTAAAAATACTCACGTGTGATAATTTTAATATACGATTAAAAAAATATTATTAAATTTATTATTATTTATATAATAAAACTAATAAAAAATGACCGAAAACATTTATGGCAATATAGAATTTCCCACTTTTCCCTATTGGCAGACAGATATTCTAAGGCTTGGGTTTGATCACTTAATTTAATAGATTTTATAATTGGACGGAGGTAGGTCAATTTGAGAAGTTACCCATGGCTCCCCAGTCATCTTAATTACCCCTACCTAGGCTTAGCCGTTACCAAACCTATTCCTTTTCTTTAAACAATATGAATAATCTATTTTATCGTTGTTTTTTTTAGCGTTTTTACTTAAAAAAAAATTATCCTACCAACGGAATATTATTTATAAGGCATTCTTTCTTTAAATATTACTAATTTAACACATTTTTTTAAGGCATTCTTTCTTTAAATATTACTAATTTAACACATTTTTTTAATAAAGTGTGGATTATGAAGCGTGTCTTTGCGGAGTTCTGTCTAATCTGGTATCATGGCGGAAAGGTGCAAATCATGAGACGCGCCTTCACGGGATTCTGTTCTAGTTAGCGCCACGTTAGAAGGCGCGGATCATGAAGCGCGCCTTCGCGGGATTCTGTCTGAGTTAGAAAAAGGCATGAATCATGATTCACACTTTTCATTTAAATCCAACCGTTTGCCATAAATATCGGCCAAACATCCGTATGCCTTCCCCTTCTCCTATAAATACCCCTACCCTTTCAACACTCACACCACAAACGTAAATATTATATTTTTTCCTTCTATCTATCATTCTATCAAGTTTTAAGAAAGTATAATTATCATTTTTAGAAGTTAAAATTTTTCTATTATACTATAATCATTTAATAGTTTATTATTTTATTATATTTTATTGTATTAATTTTTATTACATTTTACGGTTATAAAATGACTGGTGGATTGCTATGTTTATATAAGAATCATATCTCGAGTTATTTTGTCGATACGATAATAATTTTACATTTTGTTATTTTTATTTATTATGAATGTTTTATTTAATTATTTTTTTAGTATTAATTTATATTTTTCGTATACTATTTATTTAATTAGGTGAATTATCATATATTAGATCCATTTATTTGTAATGTTAAGTTAGAGATATCGAGTCGTGTCTGGCCGTATTTAGCTACGGTTGGATTCAGTGACATAGCGAAATATGAAGGACATTGTAACCTTGAACCCAAACTCATTTCTATACTAATTGAGAAATGGGGTCTAGAGACACACATTTCATCTTACATATGGGGAGTGCACTATTACGCTGGAAGATGTTTTCATATATCTGGAGCTTCCGATAGATGATGATGTTATTTCTGGTGTGGCGGATGGTGATTAACATTCCTTGTGCGAGGAGTATCTTAGATGTATCCTATCTAATTTCAACGGTGGTCGAATACAGTTATCATGGTTGGCTACAAATTTTCGACAGTTGAACAAAGTCTGTTTCGAGGAATAGACTAAAATTTTTGCCCGGGCTTGCATATTATAACCCATAAGAGGGATCTTGATACCTCATAAATTTTGCAACCAAGTTCATTCTATGTGGCTGCGTCACCTCGCAGATTTTCAAGTTGCCGGTTCATTTAGTTGGGGCTCTGCAATTTTGACATCTCTGTATAGAGAAATGTGTCAGACAACTGATTATCGAAAAATGCTATCGGTGGATGTCTCATTCTTTTGCAGTCATGGGTGTGGTATCGCATGTCCTTTTTATGTTTGGTCGTGAATAACTCGTTAGTCTTCTCATTATTGTTGAGGTAATTTCAATACCTAGTTCGTATATAAGTAATTTTTAAGTATATAATGAATTTTTTTACATTGAATAGGTGGTCATGTATAAAGAAAAATCATCGTGATATACCAGACGAATTGGAAGAAATTCAGCTACTCATTGATCAAAAGGCTGGTACAGAGGTATGTATTTAAATTTTATTATTTACCTTTAATTATCGTTATATAATTAGAATATTATTTTGATAAGAATTATATATATTTGTTTTAGTTTCAATGGGCTCCTTATTGTACTGAATAAATGAGGCATTGCATCCCACCTCACTTGAATGACCCATTAGATGTATGGATGGAGACAATCCCTCTGGTATGTTATGTTATTGTAGAGTGGCATCATACTGATCGTGTGCTCCACCAATTTGGTTTCGTACAATCTATTCCTGAAGCACCTAAGAATCTAAAAAATATGCATAACGTTGAAAGACGGGCAAAAAAGATGTCAACTGGCTGATGAAGCACAACGAGTGGGTAATGATCTGGGAGGATCGACGTGGACGTATTCCCCGTACGAAGCCGATTTATGTCGATCATTATTCAGTTTTGGATGATTATTATCAATGGTTTAACACAAATGGGAAGTCATTCCTACTTTCTGAAGAAGCATAAGACAAGAGCATTTATTGGCATCGAGGAAAGCATCCACCGTCACAGTATCATCGTCCCTTAACTCGTGGATGGAGAGTAGACGCTTTTGGCTCGTCTTCAGCTGCAACTCTGAAATCATCACAACATCCACTGTCTATACCGGATATATTTCGTAACCATTTCATATAGCACCGCAACCATTTTAGATGCCACCACCGTAGGGTTTTATGACACCTCTTGGAGGATATGCTCTCATGCTTATAGATCCAGCGTGGTCTTCATATGCTGCTTATTTGACATGTGGTGTTGTTTTTATTTATTTTGTTTCTTAATGTTTTTATTTAATTATGGATTTTTTATTTATTTTGTTTCTTAATGTTTTTATTATTTAATTATTTGAATTGTAACGTTTGTATTTAATGTTTCTATTTAATTGTTTTTATTATGTAGTTTGTAATGATTTTATTTAATTTTCACTTGAGTAGCCCATCACTTGAGTAATGCATTAATTAAAAGTAAACGAAAATAAAATAACATAAACTGAAACGTCATAATAAACAATTACATCGTCAACGGTTACATGATGATAAAAGAGATGAACATTTTTCCTATTGTGGCATATGTCTTTACAATGCTCACATATTTTGTTTTCTTTGGACGTCTCTCGAATATCCATATCACAATGAATTCGAGTGGATTTTGGACGACCTACCTCACTTAACAATGATGGATCTGGTACAATCAGAAGCCAATTCTGAACCTTATTTGGGTCTTTCTCATTACCTATTGGGGGAACTCAAATCCATATACCTTAAATACTTCTGAAAGTCGGTATATGGGATCCATAAAACAATTATAGTCTTGACGGATATAAGAGCAAGCTGCTATGACATGGGAGCATGGATACTTCAGAGCTTGAAAAAACCCACAGTCACACCACCTGTCATGTAGATTAACTTTGAATGAGTTAGCTTCAATCCCTTGAAGAGGTCGTGACATTTATATGACACGAAATAATTCATGGGTTCAAGAGAAGCTTGTTACAGACATTTCATTTGATGTAACAATTCTTTTTATAGATCTACAACTAATCTTGGGTGATAAGTATAGTTGTTTTGCATCCAAGTTAGAGCTTGTCCCCCGAGCTTGGCAAAAAAGACTCTCAAATGAAAATAAGTCGTTTTAACCAAAGTTGTTACTAGTAAATGAAGCGTCCCCTTTAAGGTTGAATTGATAGCCTCAGCCAAGTTGGTCGTCATGTATCCATATCGATATCCACCATCGTATGCATTTTTCCATATTTCTTTATTGATGAGACTGATGTAATTGTACCGTTGCTCGTTTTTTCCTTGTAATCTTGAAGCATGGACTCAAACGTTTGAGATAATAATTCGTAACATGAGTGTCAA